AATTGCTCCTATAGTAAATGGACCAAATTTAAATTTTGAGTAAATTTAGATAAATGGCCTTCATTAAAAAAAAAAGCAATGACACCCTGAACTTTGACTGCCAGCCACTGTCGACCAATGCTTAATAACTTTTAGTTATCATTTTTATTATATTTATTTATCAAAATTTTGTGGTATTTAATTGTGTTATGAAAAAATTATTATAATTCGCCATTAATTTAATTGGTGAGAGTAAATGATATTACCATCTCTCCACAGTATTCACTGCTACAAAAAGAAGTTTTAGTAAGTATGTTTTGCAAACTACACCGTCCCATGTTGGCATCCTTCAACAAGTGAATTTATCTGCATGTTTTATTAATAATTATTACTGTATCGCAAAAAAAAATTTATAAATTAATTATGCGCTAGTATTTTCACAAGAATTTGTGGTTTTTTTCCTGGTCATTCGCGATTATTTTGAAATAATATGATATGGTAATTAAGGAAATAATTATTTTCCCTCATTTTCAACTACATTGCCCAATAGCACATGATCCATGAATGCCTTTGGATGCATTCAAAATCATGCTACTTTTAAAATTTTAAAATAGTTCCAATGCTAACAAGTCACACCTTTTGACTACTCAAAGATCATTCTAGAACTTTGATGACCAGCAGCATGTGCTTGTAAAACTTATAACATTTTTTATAAAATTAATATTTAAAAGGAATAATTCAAATGCAATTGATGAGAACGAGAGAGGAAGAATAGAATATAAAAATGAGAGAAAGAGAAGAGAAGATTAGAGATAGAAAAAAGGGAGAGCTCAAAATAACATTATTAATTCTTAGACATTTTAAAGTTCATAGAAGATTCTTAACATCAGCTTTGTCTCGAATTTTGTTGAAATTACAAGAACACCTCTTTTACTTATAAAACTTACACCAATTAGGATCCCATGAAAATAAAACCTTAAACAATCTATATCTATTTATACATGCACATTGTAACATCCCAATTTAAATTTTAATAGTTAATTTGGATTAATAGAAATTAAAAAAAAATATTTAGAGGTAAATAAATTAGTAGAAAATGATCATTAAATCTAACTTGGGATATAATTTTAAATTAAATTTTTTTTTAAAAAAAATTAATTAAAAAAAATATTATTAAATTATTATTATAAAAAAAAGGAAGAAGAAGAAGAAAACGAATTTGCTTCGTCCGCCGCCTCAACAGTAACAATAATAAAATAATAATAAAAAAAAGAAGAAGAAGAGAGAGAAAATAATTAAAAAAAATATGGGACCCACTGAATTTTTATAAAACTCACCCGTTTCCTTTCATTTCTTCAATTCCTTTCCTGCGCGCGAGCTGAGGCGGAGAGAAGCGAGTTGCCAGTGCGAAATATCTAAATTTTTAAGGTAAGAGTTTTTAATAGGATATTTAGGGTGTGATTTTAAGCTTTTCAAGACTAAGTAAGTGTTCTAAAATTTTTTCTTAGTCATCCTTTTTTTTTGTTTCTGAGTTTGTAGTGGTAGAAAATTTAAGATCTGGAAGAGGGATGAATTTATGTTGAATAAATATGGTTTTTGAGGTTGTTAGTAGTATAATAAATATTCTAGAGTATAAATTTATTGGTGATCTTTGAATTTGTGGCTTATGGATCAAATTCTAGACTAGATCTGAAAATATATGTTGATTTATTGAGGTTTAGATGATTATTTGGGATGAGAAATGAATTATTATGGCTATAGGATTATGATTCTAAGCTAGAGACTTAATTTTTAATTTTTGGGTATTTTAGGTACGAATTTATGAAATAAAAAGAAAATTTTGATAATAAAAATTAGTTTAGAAGTTGATTTTTAGATTATTAATGTTTATTGATAATTAAAAGAGGAATTAAAAATTTTACTTAATAGTATTAACTATAGATTTGTATTAAGATTGAAATTAGGAATTATATTATATTTTTAATTCTATTATTAGAATTATTTTATTAGTTTCAAAAATTGAAACTAATATTTATAAATAATATGTTATTTGTAGATTGTATTACTGGTGAAGATTGTGGTGAGAGAGAAATTTTAAGGAATAATTTATTGAAAAAGCCACAAGGTAACCATGCTTTTAATTTATGATTAGTGTTACTTCATGTTAATTGGGTGATTATTGAGAAAATTATGAATTTTGTAATATTGTATAATTGTACAATATTATTATGAATTTGTTTATTTATTGTGGGAGGTGTTGGGAGACTTGCTATTATTGTTGTAATTATGTGCCACGTGGTACGCCCCTATTGGAGCTCAATAGGTGGTTTGTAAGGGCTTGGGCTAATCTACCTTTGGCCGGGTAATTTAGTACCGAGTGAGGGCTACGACTCGAGGTTAATGGAGGGATATAAGGATGGTTGTTTGTGTTTATTATAATATTCCTTATATTTGTTGGAATTATATTATTTTTAATTCTCACTTAGTAAGCACACACTTAACTGTTTGTATACACTATCATAAATTGGCTTTGGTTATTGGGACTTTTGAGTCTCATTATGTGGTTAACAATTTTCAGGAGAAGAGCCACGAGTGACACGTGGAGGAATCCCAGAGGCTTAGTGGTATAGATCCACTGTCTCTTTTGGGTATTTAATTTATGATTTATAATGTATTATATTGCCAATATTAGGGCTTTTTGTTTATTGTCAATTATATGAATATATAAATGTAATCATGCCTTTCAAACTATTTCTATTTTTAGTACAATTTGGATGACTATAATTTTAATATTTGGTTTACTTTGGATTGGTTAAAATGGCATGATTATAAGACCAAATAACTGACTTGTGTTGAAAATTGACTAAATTACTTATTTTATTTGTTGGGAGTATAAGGATGGATAAATGTAATTTAGTTTACTTGTTGGGAGTATAAGGATGGACAAATGTGATTTAGCCTAATGGCATATGGGAGGTAAAAATTTATCTAAAATGTTATAGTGTGTGAGTTGAAGCCAATTATAAAAATATTTTATATCGAAATTATTGATATAAAAATGTGTTGGGTGGCTGTAACCCAACTATGGTTGAGTTAAATTATTAAAAAAAAAATTTTGGTGTGTTACACACATAATATATAATTTAATACAACCAGTTATAGATTCTAAACCGTACACTCATTCCAGACTTGATAGTCGATATTCTATATAAAGAAATCCACGTGATTTTATTATATGAGTGATTGTTAGCTCTATTAAATAATGTTTTTTTTTTGCTAAAAAAAGGATATATTAAATAATGCTACCAACTCATACCAGGGACCTAAAAAAATTATTTTGTTATGTAAAATTGTAAATCTTCAGTTTTTTTTTTAATAATTAACAAGAGAAACAAAATGACAAAAGTGAAGTGGCCTATCATTTTGTCCGCATTTTTTACACACACACCCCTCGTTCTCCCTTCCTTCCACAGGTTGATGGTTAAAGTATACATTTGACTCTCTAATTCTATATAATGTTTAAATTTGATGAGTTTTTTTTTTGAAAAAAAGTTAGATCAGTTAATTTTATAAAATATATTTTACTCCTTTGATTTTGATATTATTAATTTTAAATAATTATTTTTTATATCAGTCATTTTTATTTTAAAAAATTAAATTTAATCTGTATTTAAAAGTTGTATGTCAGAAGTTTTGTCGATGGCGGTGACATTATTGAAAAGAAACTTTACATTGTTAACGGATAAAATGATTAAAAAACAAGAAAAAGTAAAAAAAAAAAGGTGAAATGAAATTAGGATAATAGTAACATAAATGCAAGCATCGTTGACGGATGCGAGGATGGCTTTGAGCCACAAAAAGACTTTTGCTTTGTGGATGTGGAATGCGTAGAAGTTGCTTTGGAGGAAATGTGAGGCATAGTTTTCATCTTTTACTGGTTGGCCTATATTGCACGGCGGTCACGAGCAAGTTACAAGGTGACATATTTACACAGACAAGAACCTCATTTTATTTTGTTTCTATGGTTTGCGTGCACTGCGCACACCCATGTGCCTGCTTTTTGGTTTTTTGCTTCCTTCGAATGTTCATAGTGTCCTTCTAATCAGTAATCACACGCACCTTCCACTTCTCTGCTACAAAAGTACCATCTCAAGATTCACCATTTTAATGCACCACCGCGACATGGTCGTCATCATGCTGTACATTATTCTCTCAAGAAAGAAAGCTGCCCACCCTCAACAAAACCATGTTCGCGTTTGATCCTCATCAGTATCACCTTTGTTAATGGATGGTCCAGATTTAAAAGTTTTAATTTGTAATTTTTAAATGATAAATTTATTTTTAAAAAAATATGACAGTTAGCAAATTATCTTTTTTTTTTTTCCTTCAAATCACAGGCTTATTAAAATTAAAATAATAAAATTAAATCAAATTCAGATAAATTGACTCTCAAGATTTCATTCGGCTAGGGGTGGTATTTGAACAATCAAATCAAACCTAAATCATCTAAATTTAATCTCAATGGTCCATACTTGAGATGAGCATCCATGAAATGCACTAAATTTAATCTCAGTGCTGGTTTTAGTTTAAAAAAAATGAGAGGAAACAAAAAACAAACATTTGTGTGTGTGTGTGTGTGTGTGTAAAGAGGTCTTCGGGTTATCATACTGGATTGGGCCTCAACATAGTGCTTGATCCTGGAAATTCAAAACGAGCTTATAGTGACTGGGCCGGGCCACAAGTCTCAAAATATGGACCGGATGTTGCACTAAGATAATCATATTAGGCTCAACCTGACCCGTGTGCTTTTTTATTCAGTTTCCCTAATCACTTTAATAATGTTGAAATGCTTCTTTATAGGGCCAGATTAATCCAGTAAAATTGGATCAAACTAAAAGAAACTGGTAGCAGATTAATTTCCCCACAGCTTGTAAGCATTTTAGAAGTTTTAATGTACCAAAAAAGAGTTTCAAGAAGCGAAAAGCACGTTCTTGTGAAGACTCTACATAAGACATTTGGCATAGTATGATCTTGATTTTTTGTATTTTAATATTAAGCGAATACACAAATCTCATAGATGAGAGTGGATAAAAAATCAACAAACACGAAGCAATCTTAATGCTAAGACTCAAATACATCTCAACCAATATCATAATATTGTACATGCATCTTGTTTTCTTTCTTCAATCTTCTTGTCATTGGCCAATGCGCTCTCTTTTTCAGGAACAAATCGTAGAATATTTTCTATTCTTAACTAAGTAAATGACAGGCAACATCCCTTTTTGTACTATCTCTCACCTCAAACTTCCACCATCAAATCCTTGCTGTTAACTTCATAAAGGATTATTATAATGTATGTATAGAGAATCCAATTCATATTTCACTGTGACGAATATCTTCTTTAACTGGTTCTGCAATCTTGTCATCGGAATTAAGGCAATCTGCAGAAGGATGAACCACCCCACATCCAAAGCCTTGAGCAGAATGACAGTATGTCTCCACTGTGCCATCCTCTTTCTCCAAGTCAACGTTGCTGAGCACTAAGCTGCTACATGGAACCGTGTCGCTGCAGTCAAATTTAATGGCCTTCGCGCTCTTTGTTGTCCCACTGATGTTCTGATATATGATCTCGCTTATGTTCACAGCTGATTCCTGTCAAAAATCAATTTTACAAGAATTAGTAACATTACAACTTTTTTTTGGGCCTGAACATTACTTGTTTTAACCAATGTCTAAACAGACGTTGGGTACATTGGATGTCTGGAGCATTTAAGATACCTGTGTTTGGCATACTGGAAAACAAAATATGAGGTGCCATTTAAGATATGCAAAGAATTAGGACGATACCATTATGGGTGATTTATCATGCCAACCAAAATTTATAGGGAATCTGACTTCACTTTTGAGTTTGTTAACTTTTCATCAAAATACTTGTCATATCCTTTCTATGATAACTGAAGGTTGAAAACTTGGGATGATAAATTTAACAATCTTGGACCCCTTGATGATATCTTACACCTTGGTATTCAAGATAGCAGAGTATAAGATGGCAATATACCATATTGTGATGGGTTACACTAGACTGACAAAGTACATAGTAACCTGATGAGACAGAATACTTGAGGACTATTCATATTTACCTGGATTTGACAAGTCGTTGGAGAGTCACAGTAGAACTGATCTATAATTATGGGGTTTGATACGTTATCCATCCTCACATTCTGAAATCGTACCCCACGAACATAACCAGAACCTCCCTGTATGATGCCAGAATACGACAGAAAGCTGTCCTAGTTATTCTCAAAAACACCAATTTACACTATATCTTTTTTTTACATGTAATTTAGAAGTAAGTATCAATTTCTGAATGAACTATGGAAGATCTTTGTGCACTATAAAAGTAGGGGACCATTCACATTTATTACACTATTTTTTTCCCCAACACGAGAAAGAACTATGAGACTTTCTTTCTGAGAAGACAAATATCCTTAATAATTTAGAGATTCTGAGATTCATATCTTCCCCCTTTCCCCACCTTGCGTTAATCCTAGCAATTAGTTTTTACTGACATCTGATGTTATAGCAGATTATTCCCAAATAATTTTATGAAAATTGAGAAATTTACCTGCCAAGTTTTAATCCTGACACCATTGGTAGTTTCCTTAAGAACTGCTGTATCCAGAATCACCTTAGTGACTATGCCAGCGGAGTTGTCCTTCCCAAGGCTTCCAATGCTGAAAGCATGGTGTTCAGAGAAGAGAAAGAAACCAGGGATTAATGACTTTTGCTAAGGGACCAAGTTATTTGTCAAGCAGTTAATAATATATATCTATAATTCCTTATATATATAAAGTTATATTAATATATAATATAAAATATATAAGAAGTCACGCTATTCATAAATCAACAAAAGGACGGCTCCCCTAGACTTTGCAAAGTATGAGCCCACAATCTAATTTTGAATTAGGTTTATGGCGGGAGGAAGAAAGGGGAAGAGAAATTAAGATTGAATGTTACCTAATTCCATGTCCTGGTCCACAATAGATCCTCTTCATTTTAATATTAGAGCTAGCATTGACAATTGACACACAATCATCCCCTGAATAAAACACAAAATCATCACGAGAACAAGTGGCTGGTGCATTTTTCTCCATAAATATCAAATTCTCGATATTCTGGAGCACACCGCTTTTATGTAGAAACAATGCAATCAAAGCACTATTTGCAGTTAACCTATGCACACTCGTGTTTTATTTCCTTCAGTGTTATTGTTTCGTGTCTCTTCTGTCGTGTGTAGGTGTTGTGTAAGTTATCTTAAAGAGTTTTACGTCACAATCTATCACTCTGCAATTTTTATATTCTGTTTTAAGTTGAGCGCAGAATTTTTTTTTAACAAGAACCTGTTCCAATTCTGCTGTTTTGGAGCACAACATTTGTTGATTCACTTATGTGAATTCCATCAGTGTTGGGGCTGTCTCCTGGTGCAGACACTTTCACACCATTAATTCGAACCGCATCACATCGGGATATGACAAAATTCATTTGCTGGCTATTCTGGATAGTTAGCCCTCTCACCCTTATAGCTGAGCTAGAATCAATGGTTAATGCCTGCAAAAACCTCTCAAGTAAAATTTTACTACGTAATTATCATTACATTTTCGGCAAATTTTTCTACTAGAAAAAACTAAAATATAGCAGAGGCTAAGGTTTAAGAAAATGGTCCTTACTGTTGGGGCAACTTTGCAGGGCTGCAAAAAAGAATGGAAGGAAACACAAAAGAGAAGTTATTACGTTCGGTTGAAGATTTGAATAAATCGACAAGACGAGCAAGGTCTAGCTCTGAAATGTTACATTTGACTTGTTTTTCTTGCAAGATGCTGCCCACCATTTACTTCCTGAGCCATCAATAACTCCATGTCCCTGAAAAACAGCTTTATCTAACTTGGAAAAATCAAGCCAAGTCCGTGGAAAATTTGGATCCCAGTTCTTTGGCTCATCCGGTGCTATAATTGTTCCATCAATCTAGAAATGGTAATATTATGTCAATAAGCATATCAACACAAATCTTGTAGATAAATCTGACAGTAATAAATCAGAACAACTGTAAGTACAATCACCTGGATAATTAGCTTGTCTGCACAAGGACCTTTGAATCTCGTTGCATTAATGAGGTAACGGCGTCCTTGAGGAACTAAGAAAACAGATTTTGGAGTAGAGCATGCTACATCCCACGCTTTTTTGAAAGCCTATTAATCACAACATTAGAAAAGAGAGAGAATAAAATAGTATGACTTGTTAGTAATTAACGATGCACGAACCACATTGCTAGTACTGAGAAGAAAAAAATATCTGACCATGTTTGATAATGGATTTAAGTGCAGAGTTCATGTGAAGAAAAAGAACGGAGTATGGGTATTTAGTTTTACTATTAGTCTATTACAGGTACAACTCAAAAACACCACCCAAAAGGGGGTAAAAAATTCCTGACCTGGGTATCATCAGATTCTCCATTTCCAACAGCACCAAAGCTATCTACATTCACAAGAACTTTGGCACCACGTTCGCTATTCCATGAAGGGATCTCAGAAAGCTCGACCTCATTTTCTTCTTCTTCTACGTCCAGACTTCCAAGTTCTTCTAGCATGCCTATTTTGTCACATAACACACTTCCTGCAACTCCATGAGCCACTATCAGCAAACCAAGTAAAAAAACAAGGAAGAATTTATCCATATTTTGACTTTGTTGGCAGTATTGCACGGATTGGCTGATATGATTAACTTCAATGACTACTTTGGTTATAATTTATACGTGCAGATTATCTCTAGAAATGAAGGATTTGAAGGGCTTTATGGCTTGACTTGAAAGTGGATGAAGGTGTTCAATTTTCCACATGCCCACACTTAAAGTACAAGGGAAATTGTTTGAAGTATTTTGCTTTACTCATCAACCAATCATAAAACTCACCAGTGACAGCATACGGTTGGGCTTTTCCTTCCCTTTACCCCTTTGAAAGAGAAATGATATTAGTAACATGTAATCTGCGAGACATTTTTATATTTCCTTAGCTAATTAAAAATGCAGAAGTGTGTCATGGCCATACATATAGGGGAAAAGAAAAAATTTCCTATTTCAAGAAGACGATCACAGTTAGTTATACCAAACAGGGTATGAAAATGCCGACCTCATTTTCTTGGCATGCCTACCCAATACCCCACTTCAAGGGAAACCTCTTTCCCATCAGAATGCAAGATTTGATGACTCCACAAAGTAAAGAATACCTTACCATCAGTGCTTTATCTCAATCAAACTACGACCAATCTCCCATATCATCTTCCTTGCTAGAGCCACTTCTCTGATTTGCATAGATGCATCAAAATCCCCAATCTCAGAATAAAATTGTGAAGCTTGCAACCAAACCGCTGGATCATTTGGACCTAGCTCCGCTATAATTTTTGCCACTCTTCTTCCAACCTCTTCATTCTTGTGGACCCTGCAACTTGTTAGTAATGAACACCACATAGAACAGTCGCCTTCTCCATGTGCCTTCTGCAGCAGCTCTTCAGCTTCATATAGCAATCCTGCGCGGCATAACAGATCCACCATACATGAAAAATGCTGGCGATCTGGGGATACCCCATGAAGCGATTTCATAAAGTTGAACACTAATCTTCCTTCATCAACGAGTCCCGAGTGGCTACACCCTACTAATGCACACAAGAAGGTAACCTTATCTGGTTTTAGGCCTTTCTCAACCATGGCTTGAAGCAATTCTAGGCCTTCTCTCCCCATCCCATTTCGGGCAAATCCATTTATCATTGATGTGAAACATATGGCATTTGGAGAACGAAGTGTTTCAAACATGCGACAAGAGAGTTCCACATGCCCGAATCTTGAATATGCATCGATTACAGAACAGGCAACGGCAATGTCTTCCTCAAATCCACATTTTAATGCGAAACAATGCAGCACCTGACAGCTACTAAAGTTTGGTGAAGCAGATGATGACAATGCTTTTAGTGTAGTGGAGAAAGTTATTTCATCTGGTTTAATGCCTTCATCCAACATTAAACCAAACAACTGCACTGCATCTTCTGTGGCATTACATTGAGACAAAGATGTCATTAATGAATTGCAACATTGTAAAGTTTTCTCAGGAAGGCACTCAAATATGGCTATCGAACTATCAATGTCACTGCATTTCCCGTACATATCAATCAAAGAAGATTGGACATGAACGCTTTGTGTATCAAAACCCAGTTTTAGAACATAACAGTGAATCTGTTTCCCCAGATTAATATTTTTTATCCTACTTGAGAAATTCAGAAACCCCACTAATGAACGGATGGATGGTCTCTGCCCCCATAGTTGCATAGTTGTGAATAATTCCAGAGCATCACATAATAAATTGTTGTCTACATAAACAGAAACTAATGAGTTCCATGAAATAACATCCTCAATCGGAATAGCTTCAAAAGATTTCCTCGCGTCAACTAAGCACCCACAAGCAGAGTAAAAATCCACCAAAGCGTTAGCAACGTAAATGTTCGATTCCCCCAGGCCGAGCTTCAGAATGCGACTTTGAATCTTCTTCCCTTCATATAACAATCTCAAATTACTGCATCCCCTAAGTAGATAACAAAATGTAAGCCCATTGGGCTCAACACCTTCCGATTCCATCTGGATTTGAAATCCAAGCACCACTTCTTCTTCCATTCGACCCAGCTCAGATAACCCACGCAATACTATATTCCATACCGCCAAATCTCGGTGAGGCAACTCATCAAACACTTTCATTGCGACCCTACTAAGTCCCATACGCATGTAAAAATCAATGATGGCACCAATAACGAACACGTTCAAATCGAATCCAAGCTTAATCACCCTACAATGCACCTGAACACCTTCTATATAAAACCCAGCATCGCTACAAACTCCTATCACGGAGGAGAACGTCGAAGCGCTCTCTCTCATTCCAACTAAGCCCATTTCAGCGTAGAGATGAAGAGCCTGACTCGAGAGCCGGTACCTACTCTGCCCGGAAATCAACAAGTTGTAGGTAACAACATCACGTACTGGCATGTTATTGAACACTGCAATGGCTTTGTATAGATTCTTCGATACGATCAGATGATCGATTTCACGATTCTTCATATAAATATAGCCACTACTAGTATTATCACCGGATAGCAAACAGTTGTTTGAAGCCGTGGGTCTATAATTCGCGAATTTGGATGTTATGACTCTGGCGAAGCACAAGACTTTAGCCTTTTGCATTTTGCATGACTCATTAGAACTCTTTACTAGACAATGAACACTCGGGTCTCAAACATCCTTAATACTTATCGCTACTCGGAAACAAATTTGCAAGGCAGGGAACTTCATAGTAGCCACTATTCAACACAAGTGCCCAGTTCCACTATCAACTTCAACGCTGGCAGCTAGTAAGTGGTGACAAGAATTGCTTCATGATTAGAAAAAACAATATGCAATATCAAATTAAAACGAGTATAAAATTGATATTCAATATGCAATGTATCTAGTCCGAGTTGGTTTCGAAATGACTTGTATAATAAAACTTTTCATTTATAAATGTGCAAAGAAAAAAAAGACTCAGTTGGGAAAAAAAAAACAAGAAAAATAGTTTTCAAAGAATATTATTCATTATTGGGTTTCGAAAGACTTTCAATTTACAATCAAATGCATAATTCACCAGTAATTTACTCAGAAGATTGCATGATTTACTCAACAAACGCTTGAAAAGAAGATTCATCCATTGCCATGCTTGGAAGATACATGCTCAGCTTCCTTTTTTAGCAGCCAAGGGTTATAGAGCTTGACTTCTTCCTTCAAATATAAGAAATAATCCACCGCCCCACTTAGTGCAAGAGACTCGAATGGTGGTGGTGGAATCACAACCTATAAGTTTCAAATCCATACTTGTGTTTGGAGAAACTTGGCTATATTACAGCTTGTTATAATCTGACGTGAAATTGATGTATTTGGATTTTAAATGTTTAAATTTCACATTTGAAATCTTTTATTAAATGTATTTAAAATCTTTTATTTGAGTAGTTTTTAAAATTTCAAAGGAAAAAAAAGAGAGAGAGATCAATTGAGATTCAAAATGAAAATAAAAAATATAAAATGATAAGTTTATTTTTGTTTTCTAATTAATAAGAGGTGAGAAAAGATATATGAATGATAAAAATATTAATAGTAAATTTTAATCAAATCCAAATTAATAAATTTTTATATATTTAAATAAGAGATTTGATTCAAATTTAAATTTTTATTCAAATACATTATCAAGATAGTTCGTAATTTATCAAAAATATACTCTCTCTGTTAAAAAATATAAGGCATTTTTTAAAAATTTAGATATTAAAAATAAGGCATTTTTAGTCTTTCGAGGTATAATTGTTATTTTTTTTTAAGTATCCTTATTAATAGTGACTTTATATTTATTACAGGGTATTTAATAAAGGTAAATATAAAAATATAGGATTAGTTTGAAAGTAAAAAATTACTTTATTAGGGGTACATTCAGTTAAAAATATCTTATATTTTTAACAGAGGGATTATAACACGTAGATCCTTGTGAAGAAACGTTTTCTAATTTCCAATTCATGTACGATTCTACAACGCAAGACATAAAATGTCACTGTCCTTCAGAGTGGTTAGAAGTTCAATCATTTATTTTAGAGCTAGTAATTTGAACTAAATTCGATGAACCAACTTGAACATATTCAAAAAAATTTAGGTCCAGACCTAACAAAATATTTTTAAATATTCAAATAGGCTCAAAAAAATTTGAGCTAAGCCTGATAAAAAATAATAATATTTTTTAAAAATATATAAAAATATAATAAATATTAATTAATTTTTTTATTTTTATATCATCTTATATTAAAATATCATATATTTAATTTCATTACTATAGTTATTTTAAAAAAATTAAAAATATTTATACTTTCAAATTTTTATTATTTTTAATTAATAAAATATCTTAAAATAATATTTAAAATATATTTTAATATTTATTTTTATATTTGAAGACCCACTTAATTTTTAAAAAATTTTGAGTCCTATATATCATTTGAGTATAAAAAAAAGTATATTTTATATTTTTTATAAAATAAAAAAGTAATTCTAATTAAAAATTAAATTAATAATAATTTTAAAATAAAATTTGGGCGTGTATAAATTCTTAATTCTACTACTAGATAAATATAATAAATAAAACAATATCTTTAAATACTTATTTGGTTAGAGTTTATGGTAGACTTGCTTAAAAATTAAAAATAAATTAAAATAAATATTTCTCATATGTAGAAGTTAAACAATATAAAGGTTAAAGAAAAATTAGTTAAAAAAAGTATTTCACTCATAATTAAATAATTTTATTTTATATGATATAATAATGATTATTTTTCTCACGTTTTTAAAAGCAGAAGTTATAATTTAACCAAAAGTTATTGAAAATTTTGAACTAATCAAAGCAGTGATTTTAAATTAGTAGTCTAACCGTGATCAAATTGATATCAACTTGATAATAATTAAAATAATTTAATTTAATTAAAATATATAAAATATTTATATATGATCATGATAAAACTAATATTTAAATAATTAAAACATTAATTTATAAGTAAAGAAAATATTCATAAATAAATTACACATAATATGATAAAACAATAATATATTTATTTAAATATAAAGTTAATAAGTTATTATTTTTTATTTTATTATTTTAAATTTAAAATAATATTGTATGCTTACCAAAATTATTAAAAATTTTAAATTGATTCAAAAAACAAAAAAATATTTTAAAAAAGTTTCAGGTATTCGAGCCAGCCAAAATAAGTTCGAAGCTTGAAAATATTAGGGTTAAGCTTAATTATATGAGCTTTTTATATAAAATAAGATACTTTAAGCTCATTTTAAATAAGTTTGGCCTGAATTGAAATCAGATCGAATAAATCTAACCCGCTCAAATTACCGGCTTATGTTTGGCTTTTTCATCTATTGCAATGTTATGTCCAGTTTCACCTTTCTTCCTCCCGCCGTAATGGTAGTGTTTTTAAAAATGAGAACCCAGAAAAAAAATCATGAAATAACAAATTAATATTCATATCTGTCAGTCAGTTAATATTCAGCATTCATATGTTTGTTTAATATTAATATTAATATTTATATATTTATCAAAATTTCTAATAAGTCATATTTCCGGACGGTAGATGTTGAGATGGGACAAGATTTAGTTAAGCAAAAAATATCAAATTTATATAGTTTAGATTTTTAAAACCTAACCAACGTTCTTGCAAAGTACTCCTATGATCTTATGTGTTGGGCAAAAAAAAAAAAGTTTAATCCTATTTATAGATATCCATTATTTTTTATATTTATTTATACCTTTATATCTTTATTAAATGTTAGATAAAATTATTAAAAATAATTATTTTTGTTTTTATTAAAGGAAAAATTCTTATTAACCCAATGCATCATGTCATTCATAATGCATCTAATAAAAACATGGTATTACATATAAATTAATTCTAACATTAATAATAGCAAAGAGAAAAAATAATAAATTAAATAGGCATCTTATTATAAAAATAAAATTATTAAAAATAATTTTATTTAATTGAATTGATACAATTTTATTAGATTGACCACATATTACGTGGCATATTGGATCTAACCAAAATTTTCTCTTATTAGGAGTTGAAGTAGAATCTTATTAATTTTAAAATAAAGTTAATAAAATTTAAGATTTTTTTTAATTCTGATAAAATATGTTGAAATTGATGTATAAATAGAATCAAAAAAAAATAAATTGCAGCTTTTGCTAACATGATCTATTATTCATTTCTAAAGTTGATGTTATATATACACATAGCATGCCAATGCGACAAACTTTTTATCCATTTAAATAAATTACATTTAACCCCAATTTGGTTAGTTGAAGGGGAGTGAAAGAGAAGGGAAGGAAAAATTAATAAATAATGAAAATTTTTCCTCCCTTTCTTTAAAGGAATAGAGGGTTTGTCCACTTTTTTCTCTCATTTTCTCAATTATGAACAATAATTTTATTTCATCAAAGAGAAATTTTTAAATAAATTGGGTGCACCACATTATTTGTTGTAAAGGGCGTCCTAAATTAGGACTTAATCATCACACTAATCATGGTTAATTAAGAACTAATCCAAATGGATTATTCATTACGAGATTAACCTAAATGAATTCTTAACATGTATTTTTTTACAAACTATTTAATACAAAAGGATCCCAAGTCTTTAAAATATTTTAAAAACTCATATCATTTAATTAAACATATGCGGAAGCATGATAATAACTATTTTTACTTGCACAAATATTTTGGCCCATTACTATAATACAAACATCAAAACACATTCTCAAGGGCCCAAAATATCTTTCTATCCAACACAAAACCCATAGTGCAAATGGATTAAGAATATATTATCCTAATTGACAATATCATAAACTAAATACACATATCAACATAAAAGGAGAGAGGCTTACAGAAGTGATTATTATCACTTGGCTTAATGCTCCTTTCCTCTGTTCTTCTCAGATGAACTAGCTCCTGTAATATGTTTAAAGAAAGGGATGAGTACAACCACTCAGTAACCAAGGTACATCTAAGTTATACAAATGCTTGATAATTAATCATGATTGCAAGTGGCTGATAAATTAATTAAAGTGACCATTCAAACAATCACATTAATAACATGTTAATCACATTAACATTTAACTCATGTGAATAATTTAAGAATAAAGTCAAGTACAAAATTTGCACAAATAACCACATATACATTATTTGCATAATTACTACATGTTCTCATTTTTACAATTACAATCATATTCTCAACATAGCCATCAATCACTCAAATGGCATGATAATAATAATATCATGATTGATCTCTTCCTTATATCCCCCTTATTCCTTCTGACATGAAATCCGTAGGCCAACAATCGAAAGGGATCGTCCATGTGGTGAGACTACCCCAGACCTTAATCATATCATGAGGAGCTATCGGGCCAGGGTTACCTTACTCACTTATAAACACGGTTTCCCCCAAATCACACACTATGGGGTGTCATACCCAAAACTAGCTCTACCCAAAACTCCAGGTAGGGCAGTAGGGTCAAGTCCCTTAATAGGAACAATGCTACAGTACCTTACAAGGTAAGTAGCGGCTATAACCCCTGAAATTATTGGTTAATAGCTAAGTACCATATGGATTTTGTGTAATCGTTAACTCCTTCACTAAGACGAACTCCCCGTCATATGATCATATCATGAGAAAATGCATTTCAAAACTCATAATATATATATATATATATTTCAAAAATTATCCTACATGCTTATCAACTTTCATCACTGTATATAATCCACAACTTATAACCAAGAGTGTACATATAATCATCAACCATCAATCTCATTACTCACAAGTCATAAAGTCTCAATAAAGTCACATACATTACAAACAACTATTTCAAATTTATATATATATATTATATATATTCTTTTATTTCACCAACATAATTAATTAAGTAACATACAAATGCATAAAATAGATTTTCCCCCAGTTACCTCAACCTTGAGAGGTCAAAGGTTACCCCTTAAGTTACAACACTTCCAAAGCTTGAATAGTGTCAATCTACAATTGATTATATCCCAATGTGTCAATAATATATTAACACAATTTTTACTTATATTCTAACACTTAAGTATTTATTTTATTTTATTTCATTTTTTTAAGACCTTAGTCTTAGCCTCTTAAGTTTTAAAATTTAATTTTTTGTATTTGAACCTATCTACTAGATTCAATAGTCTCCTTGACAATAATTTCATTCAAATAATTTTCTAATATCAAAATTTCCCTTTTATTTCAAAAATTCGCATATAAAAATACCGAAAAATTGCAAACTTGATTTCAAGCCTAGAATCATTATTCTATAGCCATAATAATTTATTTTTTCATCTCAAATAATCATCTAAATATCAATAAATTAATTTATATTTTCAGATTTAATAAAAAAATCTACCCATAGGGATCTAGGGATAAACTCAAATGTCTCAAATTTCAATTCTATCAATAAAATAGTACTCTAGAATATTTATTACACTACTAACAACCTCAAAAACTATATTATTCAACATAAATTTATCCCTCTTCCAAATCCTAAATTTTCTACCACCACAAAATCAAAAACCAAAGAGAAAAGATGACTAAGAAAAATTTTAGAATACTTATTTAGTCTTAGAATACTTAAAATCTCATTTAAAATATCCTAATATGGAGCTTCACCTTCTAAATCAGATCTATCGCAGGTGTCGCGCTCGCCGTCTCTATTTTCGCTCTCTGTGTCGCGCAAGAAAGAATGAAGAAAAGAGAAGAGAAATGAAAAACGCAAGAGAAGTCTGGTGATTTTAAAACAAAGAGTGGGTCTCACAATTTTTTTTTATTATTTTTCCTCTTTCTTCTCCCTTCTTTTTTTTTTATTATTATATATGTTATGATTGCATGGAGAGCGCTGAAAGCACAGCCACTTCTTCTTCTTCTTCTCTCTCTTTTTTTTATACCTTTTCTTTTTTAATAATAATAATAATAATAATTTAATATTTTTTTATTAATTAATTTTTTTAATTTAAAATTATATCCTGAGTTAGATTTAATAATTATCTCCTACTAATTTGCTTACCTCTAAATATTTTTTTTTAAAATTTCTATTAACCCAAATTAACTATTAAAATTTAAATTGGAATGTTACATTTGTGATTTGTCCAATTAGAATGTTCTAAATCATCTAAATAATTTTTACATGACATTATTTTAATTAATTTTATTCTTATAATAGAATGCACAATTAATTTATTGCCTTTTCTCTCTCTGTTATTATTGATATCAAAATTAATTTATACTTATTATTATTTGAATGTTATGTTTTTATTGGATAAACCATAGATGACATGACATACTTGTTCTATTTAAAATTTTTTTATCAAATAAATTAATTTTAATTATAAATTTAATGAATGGTTATGATTGAAAGTGAAAAAAAAAAAGAGATTCTCTCTTATTTAAATCAGACAAGGAAAGTAGAGGGACTCTCATTCTCTCCTGCAACTAAACATAGGGGAAGTCCAGTTGTATAATTATTTTATTTTGATGTTATCTCCTGATCGATTTCGTGAAGGGGCTCGAAGTCAAGGTTGAGAATTTAAATCTTTAAAAAAAAAATTATTCATGCTAAAAGATTATACTATTAGATACGAAATTCTAATTATATCAAATAAAGAGTCATTGATTGCTAGAAAAATAAAAATAAAATAAATTAAAGGTTGAAATGCATTTTTGCCAATCAATTATTTATCCAGAGGTATTTGATATTCTAAACTTATATGTGGTATAATTTTTAACTTCAATATTGAAAATGATGAATTGAATAGGTTGTAAAAAAAAAATAACTTTGACACCCAAAATTTATGAAAAGAACCTATAAAATTATAAATAATTATCCTATAAAAATTAATACTAATTAAGTTTCTAAAATAATGTGATCATTTATAAGTTTTCTTTCAAAATTTATAAGTCCTCCTAAAAAAATTACAGCTAATGTAATTAACATATTCATTTATAAATAGTATATACATTAGTTAAGTTATAAATTTTTAGAGAATGTATAAATCTTAAAAGTTAACTAATAAAATTTACTCAAAAAAACTTACTCTTTTCATTCAAAAATGTAAAATATTTTTAAACGAATCTCACTCCCATAAAGTAGTTACTACTTTTTAACTAACTCTATTTTTTCATATTTACCTTTATTAAATACCCTATAATAAATATAAAATCATTATCAATAGGGGTACTTTTGAAAAAAAAGATAATGATTATACCTCAAAAGATTAAAAATGTCTTATATTTTTGAACATCTAACACCTCAAAAATATTTTATATTTTTTAATGGAAGGAGTATAAATTATGTGGGAAGATTTGTAAATAATAATAATAATAATAAATTATTACATATTAAATTGTTAAATATGATGTTATTAAAGAAAATATAAAATTTTAATTATTATTGATTTTTTGCCATCAATTATGATCCGTTAAATGTTAATTGCCCAGTAATTAGTTAAATTAGTTGGTTAAAATCACATTTTTGTCTTTATATGGGTAAGAAATAATATTTTATCTTGGTATTAATCTATAATTTTGAGGACTTTTTTTAATTGATATTAATTTATAGAATACTTATATGTAATTTTATGGATCCTTTTTTATAATTTTTAAGATTTTTTTTGTTGCAATTTTGAGTCAATTAATAATCAAAGGTGTCTTAATGTACTATTTTTACACGTTGAAGGAGAAATTACGTCGCATGTAAATTTAGCATATCAGACCCTTCTAAGAAAATAATCAAAGGATGAAAAAAATAATTTTTTAGCCCATAAATTAAAGAAATGAAAAAAAGTAAACTCTTCATTTTAATGCTACAACTTAATTGCACGTTTATCTGCATGGTTTCATCTTTACCACGAGAAAAATCCAAATATCACAAATGTGAAATCACACCCCTTCCACCAACTCCATAAATTATAATTTTCAATTTTATAAATTAAATTATCTTTTTTTTTCCATAAATATAATTGGTCAATCCATCCTTCATATTTTAATCATTTTATTTTATTTTTATCTTCATTTCATTATCATCCTTAAACGAAACCACTCTAATATGTCTAAACTTAACGTGGTGATAATTAGTGATCCATATTAAGTACTCTTTTTACTCTATTTAAAAGTCATTTATATTTCACTGAAATTAATGATAAGTAATTAAATTATTGATGTAATCTTTAAAAATATTTTCTTTCTCAGTAATTTTTTACTCTCCATTCATAAAAATGGTAAAAGATTAAAATTAAAGTGTTAATAATCCTTATTTTTACATGTGACTTTTAAAAAGCACACTCTGATTTATACAAAAAAAAACTTAAATTAAAGTGTACTTTTAGTTCTTTAACTTTACATAAGATTTTATTTTAGTCTCTTAATTTTTAAAAGTGTATTTTAATCATTTAACCCTAATATCCTTAATTTCATTACAAAATTTTTTATATTAAAATTTAAAATATTGACAAAACATTTTAAAATGTTGACTCATTAAATTTATTTTTTTAAATAACAATGATCGGTATGAAAAAAATTATTTAAAATAAAGGTGGTTAAAGATTAAAAATATACTTTATAAATAATGAGATTAAAATAAAATCTTATGTAAAATTAGAGGATCAAAAGTATACTTTAATCAACACCTTATATATTTTAAAATAATTATTTTTAATTAAATTAAAATATGTAAATATTTTATAAATTATTTATTTATGACAACCTTTTATTATTAAAATTATTAATATATTAAAACTTATTTTCTTTTATTTAATTAAATAAAAATATATTAAATATATAAGTTTAGTATTATCATTTTGGTGGCGCATGTTCGCGCTTACACGAAGCGCGTGTGGGCGAGGCCAAACGGTTACAGGTGGCGGGGTACGAGTTCGGTGTGACCGGTGCGAAGCAAGACGATGCGCTCCTCAATGTCGTTGCGCGCTTGATCGTATTCATGCACCAATGGCTAATGGTATACGCACTCTTCTTCCCCTTCCCCCTGTTGTTGCCGGCCCCTGCAGACACCTCTCTCACTCTCTCAGCCTCTGAGAACAACTAAGCAAGCAAGCCTCACTCGGCGCTGCATTTTCCGGCATGCCCTTTTCTTCACCTTCAAGAAATCCGCCCATGTTCTGCTTTAGCATTTCTACTTTCCTGCTTCTATATATTGATATATGCACACTTATATTTGATATATATCGCCTCCAAATAATACAAGATTCATAGATTTTCTTTAAATGAATTTATTAACTAACAGTCCAAGTACAATTAATCATTTAAATAAATTATTATCTTGAAATTTCAGAAGTCTTCAAGTCATTTGAGTCCGGTTTATCTTGGATTTCGAAGGTCTTCTCATTATTTTATCTTATCTAATCATTTTCCTCTTCAATGAGTCAATGAATCTCACTAATATTACATCCCAGTCTAACAGTTTGTTCTTCGTTTTTAGTTCTTTATAATTTCTACTAATATATCCTAGCAATGTATGCGTTGTAGAGTTCTGGAGCCTGTTTGGGGAGGGTAAATAGTTCTCACTGCTTACTCATGGTATGTTTTCGCCTCCAATTAGAGGATTTAGTGTCCGTGCTAGCTATCAAGATTCAGAATTAATGACCCTTCTTCATCATGATCGGCTTGTCGATATAAACCTGTGCGCATAAATTTTTCTTAGGCTGAAGCATCCAGTGTCAATGACTGGTTTTAAACACACTGCGAAAATTCCAATACTTTTTTACCTGTCATTAGGTTTAATTTTTAGATGTTTCTGGGCTAATTAGATATATTGGAAGCAACAAAAACGTTACGGAGCAATAACGTTATGGTACTTTTTGGGCGAAAAAACGAAAAAGGGGAATATTTATTCAAGCCAATGGAAAACAATATACAGCAACTGGTGTTACGGCACTTTAACTTTTAACAATGCTTTGTTGTTTATTTGATTGATAAAGAATCTAAGATTTACCTTGATTTTGGGTCTTGCTCTTCTGGTTTTTTCTCCATCAATTACCATTGACGGGAAAAATTGTTAAGGATGCAATTGATGATAGCTGGGAGAATAACATAGATTGGACCACTGATGATGAGCTTGAGGTATTTGATATGCCATCGCAAGATTCTTTGAGACTAACAAATACTAAACAAGAGAGTGTTAAATCTTCTTTGAAGGTAAATTCTGTATCCACTATTCTCGCAGTATATTCAATATTCACCGAAAAAGCTGGTTAATACTGGATTTCAATTTTGGATTTGAGAGAAAGGCTTGACAACGATAGTGATTTAACGAACTTCTATGAAAAATAACTTCAGCGTGAAGAACTAAATAAATTTTATAACATGAAACTAAGATTAAGAAAAATGAATTCTCATTCAATCATCATCATTCCCAGTCTCGTGCTATGATTTGGTACACCCTGCAATGAACTGTTTGTTCGACGTTAACTAGAGAGAAAGCTCCATGCTAAAGTTATATGAAATAAGCGGATATCCTGTTTTCGCCTTCCGTTTTGCTAATTGATTTCTTGATGCAGGAAAACACTCGTATGATAAAGAAGGACGAGACATTGTCAATGCTTGTGGATATGGGATACGCAATAGAAGAGGCTTTGATAGCTATGGATCAATGTGGTGTGTGGAAATAACTGTATTTTTTTTCTAGCTGCATGTTTACCATGCACCGCCTGCAAATCCATCATATGGTTGGTTTTATGTTTGCGGTATCTTATTAGAACATTTGGCAGGCATCAATACCCAAATGAGTGAGCTGATAGATTTTATTTGCGCTGCTCGTGTGGGAAAGGAAACTGATTCCAACTTCAACATTCGCATAAACATAAACCCAACGCCGTTGTCCATACATTCGAAAAGGTATTTTGTAGTTTGTACAATCTATTTAAATGACTATGCTTTTAGTTTTATCTTCTTTAATGTGACTCTGTCATTTAAGTAGAAATATTTTCATTTCTCAATCATGCTGTATTTTTGCTTTGTAGGCAACATACTCCTTTCACAATACAACCAACGAAGTGACACAAAACAATGGCAAATGGGAAAGCATAATATGCGGGGCAAGTGAAAAGGCTGTAGTGGTTGATGCGGAGGTGATGCATTTTCTTAACCCCAAGCGATATATATAGGATTTGATATTTGTTCACTGACAAAACTTGCCGAGTCAGTTGATTATCAGCCCTACTTCGCTATGCAGATATCTTCTATTTTTTTAGCATCCATCTAGCTGAATGATTCCTTGATGCAGGATGAAATTTCTTATATGCTTGAGAAGGATGAGACATTGTCGACGCTTGTGGATATGGGATTCACAATGGAAGAGGCTTTGATAGCTTTGGATAAGCATGGTGTGTATTATCATAGTTTCCTTTTTTTTCTTTCCTGTTTCACTTCTATATTTCTTGTTCTTCTTTTGATTCCCCACGTATCGGCTGCTGCATTAAATGATCTAGAGTAGTTTAGAAGTTCTTGAGGAAAGAACTATCTTTTTTGCCTTCTATTTTCCATGGAGAATTTACACATTTTGTGATTGATTTGAGAGTTTTGGCACGTTGCAGGCCTTGAAGCTGAAATCAGTGAACTGACAGATTTCATTTGCGCTGCTAGATTAGAAAAGGAAATTGATTCCCAGCTTCAAAATTCATGCAATGAAAAACACAATGGAGCCATTCATGCCCTTGAAAAGGTCTTATCTATAACTGTTTTAAATGACACAGAAATGTTTACCTTTTTTACTGCGAGTCGGTGATGTAGATACAAATATCCTCAAATCATGTTGTACCTTTGTTTTGCAGTCAAGATATACCTATAGTTACACAACTAAGAGAATGAAACTTGGCAATGAAAAATGGAAAAGTAGAATATGCAGGGCAAGTGAGAAGAAGGCAGCAACGATTGATAAGGAGGAGGTGATGCATCTTCCTAATCCCATGATAGGATTCAGTACACCCAATGAATTTTGTACCATTGTAGAGCGCAAGCTCCCAGAGATAGTTGATGGTCCACCCTACTTCTATTATGAGAATGTTGCTATCACTCCTAAAGGAGTTTGGAGTAAGATATCACGTTTCTTATACGAAATTGAGCCAGAATTTGTTGACTCCAAGTTCTTCTGCGCTGCAGCAAGGAAAAGAGGATATATCCATAATCTTCCCATTCACAACCGTTACCCTCTTGCTCCTTCCCAGCCACTCAATATTGCAGAAGCTTTACCTTCAACCAGCAAGTGGTGGCCTTCGTGGGACAAAAGAACAAAACTTAATTGCCTTCAAACCTGCATAGCTAGTGCCAAACTCACAGAGAGAATAAGGAAAAAGCTTGAGCAGAGCGATGGCGAGCCTCCTCAAGATGTCCAAGTGGATGTACTTCAACAATGTAAAAAATGGAACTTGGTTTGGGTGGGAAAAAACAAGTTGGCGCCTCTTGAACCTGACGAATTGGAGTTGCTGATGGGATTTCCAAGGCATCACACTAGAGGTGGTGGAATCAACAGAACAGATAGATACAAAGCGCTTGGCAATGCATTTCAGGTAGTTGATTTTGTAATCATGTAAACACTAAACTAATTATAAAAGGACAGATGGTTGTGTCAAATACACAATCTTTCCGAAAAGGTTTCTTATTGAAAACCCTACCAAAACGTACGTAGAACCAAACATGTACAGTCTACATGATAATTATTTTCCTCTGCTAACTCCTTCGACAAGCCCATTAATCAAATGCAATTGAATGGGTTTCAGGTTGATACAGTTGCCTACCATCTTTCAGTGTTGAAGGATCGTTTTCCAAATGGCATGAATGTTTTGTCCCTCTTCTCTGGCATTGGTGGTGCTGAGGTTGCTCTGCATCGGCTTGGGATTACCCTTAAAAATGTGGTATCCGTGGAGATATCTGAAGTAAATAGAAACATTATTCATAGTTGGTGGGAACAGACCAACCAAACAGGAAATCTGATTGAGTTTGAAGATGTGCAAGAAGTGAGTGCAGATAAGTTGGAGAGCTGGATGGCTTCTTTTGGTGGGTTTGACCTGGTCATTGGTGGGAGCCCCTGCAATAACCTCACAGGCGCTAACAGAGTGAGTAGAATTGGACTTGAGGGCAAGGATTCCTCGCTCTTTTATGAATACTTTCGCATTCTAGACCAACTCAAGACAATAACAAGAGCCAATGGCTCAGGTCTATAATGGCACCACGTGGTTCCACAAATCCTCTCTTGATAAGAGGTCACAAGCTCTAACCTTTGTAGTGCAAACTGCGGGTGTGTTTAAATTGTATCTTTTATATATATATATATATATATATATATTAAGACAAAGATTAAGAAACATACAGACCAGAGGTTTCTATAAGTTTGAAGGAACATTGACATGAAAACATTTTGTAGGGCAGGTTTATAGCATTCCTCTTAGACCAAGATTTTCGGTTTAAAATTGTCTCTAATCAAGGAAAAATACGGATAAGAGGTTTCTATAAGTTTGAAGGAACATTGACATGAAAACATTTTGTAGGAAAGGTATTTAGCATTTCCCTTGGACCAAGATTTTTCGTTTTGAGGACATTTTGTTTGGAACAAGACTTGGTGGTTTACATACTTATCGTCTAAATTTTCAGTTGCATTGAATAATTGTTGTGTTTTTGTTCTTCATAACAATAAATTAGAATTTAGATTTGTCGAACTTTATACCAAAATAGTTTATTGTTTTCTCTTGTATCTTTTTACCTGAATTGTCTTCTGTAGTTTTAATATCATGTTGGCATTACATATTAAAGCATGATTAAGCTGAAGCCATTTGATAGAGATTTATTTAAGCTTGTATATTGTTTAAATACTTGATGAGGGACTTAAGCATACTTCTGATAATAGTAAGTTAATAACACATCCATATTTCTCTACATATCGTGTAAATCCTGTTAACTTATTTATAATTTTTAAATTTCAAAAGTTCCTAATATCCATAAAAACATCATGAGAATAAAACTATCAATAATAGGAATCGCTACATTAGACTTTGCATTTCATCATTGCTTGGATTGATATAAACTAAAAATAGCATATGACATGGGAAGAAAGGAAAAAACAAATATGAAAAAGGGCTTGGCTCATGACACCATGAATCATACAAAGATGGTAATACAGATGTGAAACTAATAACATGTAAAAATTACATTAAAAATATTAGATTTTCCTCCGTGCACAAAGTTGATATGATATAAAGACAAGGAAAGATATTACCAAAGAATCATTGAAGATATTTTATATCAAAGAAAGGTGGTAAGATTCTGATTTTTCATTGCACTTCTTTAGTCTTTAGCTGAAAATAAATTTTTATAAAAAGTAATTGAATTATCCCTAAAGTTTAAAATAATATGTGTTTAGTCTACTTAAACAAAAAGTTATTTGAGTTTTGACAATAATCAATTCATGATTAACAACATATTCAAAATTTAACAAAATTGAAAAACTAATAACAAGTTTAATAAATAAGTGTTTATCCTGCATAACCAACAAGCTATTTAGATTTTGACAACAATTAATCCATGATTGATTACCATGCATTTAGAATTTAATAAGATTGAAAAACTAATGACACAAGTTTAATGGAATAAATGTTCAAACCTTTTGAGTTTTGACAATAATTAATTCGTTATCAATAACAATACATTCAAAATTTAACAAGATTAAAAAATTGACATCACAAATTTGATGAAACAAGCATTCACCTTGCATAAATAATAAGTTATTTAGATTTTGGCAAGAGTTAATTTGTAATTGATAACAATACATTCAGATTTTGACAAGATTGAAAAACTAACATGATGAGTTTAATGTAATAAGTGTTTACCCTGCATAGACAACAAATAATTCAGATTTTAACAATAACCAATTTGTAATTGATAACGACACATTTATACATTAACAAATAATTCATATTTAGTTGTTTCTCTTCAATTAAGAGCGGTAATTAAGTTATTTCTTGTAAAAATATATTTTCAAATAAGGATTAAGGGGATGCAATAAAAATCATAATCTTAAGGTCTTTTTTGATATAAAATATCTCCAATGATCCTCAATTGATATTTTTTCTAAAAACAAATGCTCAGAGAACTTTCAATACATAGTATTTAGTGCTATCAATTTGATTTTTTATGTAATTAGAAGTACACAAAGGAAGTCAAGTTTATATGTCATAACCTTAAAAAGCAGTAGTTTTTGGATGGCAAAAAGTAAATATACTATAATTAATGCTATAAATGAATCTAAATTTAAATATCACTCAAGTAGTAGAAAATAAGTTAGATTGTTAAAAAAATTATAATAAAAATTACATGCAAATCAATGCTTAAGCAATTTTATAATTATAAATAACCTAACAGTGTTAGTAGAGTTTCAAGTGTCAACAATCGATCAATAATGTGTGAAAAAAATTCATATGTTATTGTTTTGGTAGAGAATTGGATGATAATGATAACTAATAACATAAAGTCAAGTATCTAATCTATCTATTTATTTTTTTTAAAAAAAAGTCACTGATAATAAATATATTTATTCAATTAATATATAACATAAAATTTTGAAAATTTTAAAATCAAACCATATAGATTAAATAAAAAATTTAATGGAAAAATTTTAGTGAGGGACCCTTGACCAAATATAATGAAAAAGAAAACTCCCTAATTTCTAAAATTTCACTGTAGGACCCGATACTGAATTGAAATTAAATTTGTGATGGAAATGATAAAATTTCCTCATTTAAATAAACAACATATCATAGTAAGATGACTTGTTCGTTCCCATATTGTATGCTGTTCATTTATTTATAAAATATTATTCATTTCCTTACTTCACTTATTTTAGTCCTATTTTCATTTAATTTCATTCCAAAAGCTATAAACAAGTGAAATAGGTAAACGAACAATATTTCGTAAGTAAATGAATAATATACAAGATGGGAATGAACAAGCTATTTTATCATAAAACTAACATTTAGAATGAAATTAAATGAAATTAGGGCTATCAACAAGAGATGTTAGGTAATTAACAATATTTTATAAGTAAATGTATAATATATAGTATGAGAATGAATAAGTCATCTTAACTATGGTATGTTGTTCATTTAAATGAAGAGAATTTTGTTATTTTTGTCATAAATTTAATTTCAATTTTGCAGTGAAATTTTAGAAATTTTGGGGATTTCTTTTTTAATATTTTCGGTCAAGGTCCCCACTTGAAATTTTCCTAATTTTAATTGATACGAAGCTGATTTGTCTGTCCACGGTTAGGCGCTAAAGGAAACTAAACCAACTCTCACGGCCAAGGAAAGACAAGGAAAGAAGACGGCAACCACCTAAGCGGATCCACGGTAGGGCACAAATGTAGCATCTTGAAAATTATTCCCTTGATTAATTAAGCTAATGAAGGGTAAATATATAAATTTAAGTATAAATGAATTTGAGGATGGCTAGAGATAGCTAATAGGCCTATTGGGCTTGGTCTTAGTCATTAGATTAGGTTCAAAAATGAATTAGGCTACCTGGGATTAAATGGAAGAGAGAAAATAGAATTTGACCAATTGTGCATTATGCTGCAACATAATGCATTTACGCTGTAATATAATGTTACAAATCTAACTTAAAAAGGGCATATGTGTATGCGAAAAATAAAGAAAAAGAGGTGAAAGAAGGGGCTCATGATCCTCTCCACTAAAGCATGATTTTGCTGGTGTTTTTGGGATTATTTAAGCTTCTAATCACTAACGTAAGCCTCCCCTATCATTTCTCTTCCTCTCTTCATCACCATTTTTAAGTTAAGGTTGTAGTTAGAAGATGATTTTCAAACCTTGAGAACTTTGAATCCGAACCTATTGATTTAAATGGAGTTAATGGGAGTTGTTTGAGTTATCTACTAGAGATAGTGGTTTTATGCGTTCATGAGATTGGGCTTACAATTATAGACCAATTTGTGCATTTAAATGCCATAAACAGTTGTGCTTGAGGTTTGTGGCTGCCATTAATGTTGATTAAGAATTGTGTTAGTGTTAGTTGGAGCTAATGAGAGCTAATGAACCTAATGTGGTGATTAAACTTAGTAGTTGAAAGTTTTGGTTGTTGAAATTTAAGAGTAGCAAGTGAGAAAATTGTGACATTGATGATGATTTTGGGTTTTTAGATGATATATTATTGATTATTTAAGTTATGAGAGCTAAATGAAGTTAATAGAATTAAGAAACTCAATGGATGTGAGGTTGATCTTGTAGTTAGGAAATTTAGTTATTGAAGTATGAAATTAGATGTTGGAAGTGGTAATTTTAATGATTATTAGTGATGGGTATTAATGTAATTATAGACTAACCTCATGAAGCACCGGTGAGCTTGAATTTAACTTGAAAAGAAAGCTATAATTGAGGGGTAACCTTTGACTTCGTAAAGGTTTGAGATAATCAGGAGAAATCTTATTTATATAGTTATATGTTAATTAAGTAGTTGTTAAAATTTATAATTTAAAACTTGTTTGATGTGTAGAAAGTTATTAATACAATTTTGGTAATATGTGGTATTATACATGAAATGACTTTTGAAAAATGAAGAGTTTTATGCATGATGCATATCTGTGAAGCAATGATGTCATTTGACTGTGATATTGTGAAAATATAACATATATGATATATATATATATATATATTAGTTGTGGAGTTTACCAGGAGTGAGAAATTGATGTGGACATAACATGGGATTGTGAATTTGGTCACATTTGCATAATATGTGTAACTTGTGCATAGCATAATTATTGGCAGGAGTTCGCCTAGGGAAATGAGTAGATTGATAAATTCACATGGTGTTAGCGGCAACCGTTGGAATTAAGAGCTTGCCTTAGCACCTACCGTTAGAATCAAAAGGTAGCCCTTGTCCCATGATTAATTCGAGACTGTCTTACTTGTTTTATGAGGGACTCAAACCTAACTAATCTCCACTGGTTCATGAGGAGGCTAAATTAAGGGTATGGCACCCTATGGTTGTTAGTATTGAGAGAAACCGGATTACACAAGTGAGGAGTTGACCCTGGCCCGATAGCTCCTCATAAGTGAAAGGCTAGGTTAGTCTGTAAGGGTGTAGCCATCGAATAGCCATCGATTTTATGTCGAAGGTAATTAAGAGAATATAAGGTTGGCATATAATCATATATTTAGTTTCAACCATATAGTTGTTAGTATTGTGGTCCAGTGCTGTTTAGAGGCACATGATTGGTATTATTGCGACCCCAAGTTATGCATTATTAATATATATATATATATATATATATATCTGTGTGTGTGTGTGTGTGTGGTGTTTGAAACCTAATCATATGGTTGTTATTGTTGTGGTCGAGGCTATATGTTATCATACATACTTTATATGTGTGCTTATTGTCAATTGCATCCGTTTTTTATTGACATGCAACTATATAGATTAGGTAAAACTTGATTATTGAGTAATTGTACTCAGCCCTCTATTTAAGATTTTATAAGTACTAGTTTCTAACAGAGCAAAGGGAAAACACCAGAGGCTTGAAAGCTCGGTTTTCTAATGTAGGCCTCTCGTAATTTTAGTTGAATATGTATAATTTATT